GTCAATTCTGGCAAATTGGAACATCTACATAGTAATACACACTGGGTGGATGAAGCACTTAAACTGAGGCGCGTTGTTATTGTGACGAAGTCGATCTTTTAAATTTGCTGATAGGAGGACATTCCACTTGCTCAAACTTGCCGAATCGCAAAGTGGATACTCCTATCCGTTTCTAATTGTATAGCTTCGTGCTCACCTTGTATAACCTTCGTTAGGGATGGCCTGACCTCTTTGTTATGGCCTTGGGGGATGACAAACTTGTTCTGTGTTATATTTTAAGGCTTAATGGATTCGTGAATGTTTACATAGCAATATGGTATTACGCAGCCAATTTTGCATTTCAATCTCTCTATTTTAATTAGGTGATCGGTCGATCTTGCTGGCAGCTATCGATACAAGTGAGATTACCGATCCATCTGAAATCGCGGTCTAGGTAGATTTATGTATCAATACGCTTTGTTGATCATATAGGCCTTCCTAATCTAGTCTTGAAACCCTTTCCCTAGTCTTCCAACCATTTTAATTGTCTTGTGGTCTTGATATCTAGTTCTTTGATCGTATGCTGCATCCTATCGCAGTTTATCCCGACTAGTAGTCTTGCCTATCCTAGCCAAACAAATCAAAAATTAGGTTATTCTGGCTATTTATTACATGCGTATTCTTAGCATTCGAAAGTCAAATATTTCTGTAGTGTAGTAGAGAAAAATCTAGCGCTTGTAGAAAGAAGTATTACTGTATTTTTACCAATCACGTTAGTATCCGGCTTTACTATGCATTTTCTACTCTGCCGAGTAGTATTTAATTAGATATCAATTTCTGTAAATATTGCCCCCTGGAACACATGTCGAAAACTCATGGTCGATACTCAAATAATGACGCTCCATTCGCCATATTGTCACCAAAAATAAGTATTCGAAAACACATCCCTAAACTGGGTAAAATATTCTTATATTGCGTAAAAATTTTGTGAGATCTCCTAAAGAAATGTCTACTTGATCTTATAGCTGCAGCTTTTTAATTTGGAGGTGACACAGTCTTTTTAATGTAATGATAAACATATCGAAAAAATGATGAGATTTAAAACTGCTTTGCAGCTTTACAAAATTATCTACAAATCTAAATGACTGATATATGTTGAATCGGACTCAACAAACTCGAACGAAGATCAACAAATTGGTAGTTGGTCTATAATTGCTTAGTAGAAGATCGCATTTACTGCTTGTCCTGGAGGGTCTTCATACAAACTGAGAGGGCTTTCCGTGGCCAACGTACTAATGAAGTGTCATGTGGTCGAATACAGTTAGCTAGAACGTGTTTGATTTTAGCGGTGGGAAACAAGTAATGGTCCATCCGAATTTGGCATCACAGGTCGTGATTGACCGAACGGTCTCAGAAGGGCGATGGGGAGCTTTCCATGTTCATTCAGATGCTGAAAATTGTGAATTTGTGGTGTAGCCCTTCTTAACGGTCGGCTTTTTGCTGTTCGATCATGGCAAGAGATGGTAGAAGCTGATATTAGTCCGCGGAGAAAGCCTAAGAACCACATAACTATTTTTATTGAGACATTAGGTAAGGATCAGCTTAAGTGGGATAGAGATAAATGAATGAGATCCCCTGATTAATCATTCTGTCTTTCGACCGCTAGTTACTAAGTAACATTGGTGCCACATGAGTAATTTAGTTCGTAACAGAGCAACACATGTGTTAATCAGTTTCTGTATAAAAGGTCTTTTAACTCGAGCTTTTTGATGGCATTTGTTTCATACCAAAGTGACTACATTCATCATCATTAAGCTGCTTCATTGTGTAGTTGTTTATCGCCGCGGGGAGTCATGGTCGATCCGATCATCAACACTCTTCGATCAGCAATTTCGCTGTGATGAAGGTGAATCTTGAAGTAAATAGCGACAAGTCCTTATTACATGCACCGTTCTTCGGAGCTTTTAAGGACATGGTGTAATTACACCTTCGTATCGAAACCGATCCGTTTTCAGTGTAAATCTATCCAGATCGATATCCTGCGGACATGGCACACTTCCATGCACAGATCGACGTCGATTTTCCTCCAGTGACATCATTCAGATCGACATCCCCAGGATATGGTATACCTTCATCTGCTGGATTGGCACCGAATACTATTTTGGTGCTAGTACAATTCTCCTCGAATTCATCCATTGACAGTCGTAACATACCCTAGGTTAACTTATCCTACATCACTCCATCCGAATTAGACTATCAAATACCTTGGTCTGTCCCAGATATCTCTCTTTACATCAAGTATAACCTGCCTGAGCCTGTTCCAGATTAATAATCCCGAATTGTTCTAGTCATCATCGGCTGTACTCTGCCCGATCCATTAGCAACTCTTTTCTAACCTTCAGGCACATTTCATCTCCGACGATATATGGGGACTTAGATGTGTAGGACTTTGTGTACTCTGATCCGCTCTGTCGCACAGACCGTAGTAGATTTTCCACTGAAGATCTGGACCGCCTCCTACCTTAAGTGGGCCTCAATCCTATTGCTCACGATCAACGTCCCAAATTTAGTTTGGAATTGACCACAACCGCCCCCTAAACGAAGATCCATTTGAATAGCGATTAATCAGAGTATGTAAGGGGGCACCCTGAAGCTTGTACTGATGACTGTACAAGCTACTTATTCTGACGACAGAATAAGGCGGTGCCTCGGAACTTCACGTACACTCGTACGTGCAGAGGAAGACGGTACGAAGAAGCGATAACTTGGTTTAAGTAAAAAGTAGAACTGTATTTATCATATTCAATGTCTGTTAATAAATCACTATTCATCTAACTATGTCTGAATACAAATGTGCATATCAACTATCTGCTCACCACTCATTGCGTGCGTCTGTCGTGGCGTGTCTTCGTCGGTTGATATAATGGCCTATATCAACCAATTAGGAACTACTCGTAAGGGCTCCAGAATATTTGTCCTTATGGCAAAATTCTGTGAATATAACTCTTACAGTCATATTCTGTTAACAATTTCTTATAAATTGTTATGTAACGATTCACCCCGCTACATCACCCCCCCATTAACCATCAGTCACTTTAGTTACTAATTGACTAAATGGATGCTCGTCCCAAATCATTTGGGACAGGGTTTGCACTTGTTGGTCCGAGTCCACTTTTCAACAGTTCATCGCATGGTTAACAAGCCCATGCGATGCGCGAGCAAGGCCGCCGAGAGCGCGTCCGCACGTCTCTGTGCGGACGCCGAGGCAGAAACCACAGCAACTGATGTTTCATCGGTTGCTGGAGCGACCCAGCCTGTGTCACTTGGTGATGCAGGCGTTGGTCATGAAGACACTCATGTCTTCACAGAGTACGAGCTCGGTGTCTCGTACTCTCCTGATACGGAAGACAGATCCGTATCGACGGCGATCGAGACCAAGCCTCCTGCCAAGCGTGGCTTGGATGATGCTATGCGTCGTAGCATCTTTGTTCCATCTGACGAATCAGATGAACAATCGCCGAAGCGAAGGCGCTCGAGATCGCAAGACTCGGGCGCTCATAGTGGTGTCGGTTCTCCTATTGACACCACTTCGCAACGAGGTGCCAGTACTTCTGTCGGCACGTCGCAAGAAGATCGGGACCGCAATGTCTTGCGTCTCGCTCCCGAGAAGAAGGCATGTATGCCTCCTAAATTTTTCATGGATCACTTGTCGGTGACGACGAGTGGTCGTTATCGAACACGGTTGTTCGATTCGTCAAGGATCCATCACCTTGACCCCAGCGCGAAAAACTATCGCGCTGAGAATGAATTCTTCATCGATGCTTTCTTTAGACATCCATGGTACAGTGGGAATCACAAATGTGATGGTCCCTCACTACTTCAAGCGTGGAACACCTACATCCATAACCTTGAGGATGTAGGTCGTGACGTTTGGAACGACAAACTTATCAAATCTCGTGATAAGTTTGAAAAGCGAACCCCGACAGGTGCACGCTACAAGCTGCATCGTCTGTCTAGGGAGAGTGGGTTACCCTGTCTTTCCTGGGGAGACTCGTGCCCATGTTGTGTGAACAACTCTTCGCGCGCACCTAAAGAGGATTACCTCCTCACTATCCCGTGGTGGCGCGTTCGTATCTCTACTGAGATGTACGAAGGGATTGACAACCTGAAATCCCTTTACGACCGTGCCGGGAAGACTTTCTCCGGCGGTCCTTCTGCGGCACAGGATGTGCCGCGTCCTACTGCTCGACCAGACCCAGTACGTCAACCATCAGTTGGGAGCGGGGCTCCCAAGTATCCCAGGACGGGGGATAACCGCGCCATTGGACGAGGTAACTCTTCCGACATCCGTTCACATCGCGGTGGTTCAACAGCTGCTCAACTAGATAGAGCTGGCCACCGCGAGAGTCCTCTAATGGAGATGGAGGAGGAGGAAAGACGCTCTCCACACGATCATGTGGATCGGTGTGTTCCCGAGAGCTTCTTTGATCGCGTAACGCAAGGGTTACGCAACGATCTCGAACACGAGCGGGACAGGCGTCTCCAACTGGCGGACGCTGTCTTGAAGCATCGAGCTGAGTTTGCCTTTGCTCAGCTCGAGAACGAGAGAGCTCTGACATCTCTGCGTGACGAGCTAAGGGTAGCTCGTGGGGATGTCGAGCGGTCTCGGGCTGAGATAACTGCTCTTCTGACCCTTGTCGATGGCCACCATCGGGAGCACAAGGCTCTCTGTGAGATGCTTGAGCGCAAGGGCGTTCTTCATCGGAAGAAGCAGCGTACTGATGGTACGGCTTTAGCCGACCAACGTTAAACGTGGGATGCGTTCGCATCTTACGTGGCAATTCGATCGTGTATGCATTGCCTAGGCGGTGCAAGACACGAAATGGGCCGATGTACTTGGGTGGTAGTTTACTGCTACCCAAGTTAGTCACTACATGCTTTGGTAGATTAACCGTAGACAGTAGGACCAAGTCAACTTCATTGAATAAAAGAGTGTTTGCCCTTCCATTCTTGTCAGCGTTTTACTTTTGCTTTTCCACCGCTTCGGCGATGGAGTCTTGCACAAAACGGACTACCGTTTCACGAGCCAGTATGAACTCATCTGATGACTCATTAGCTACAGTGCACTGTGAGTGCACTGCAGCAACATCAACCTTTTCTTCAGTGAGGGCTTCCGCACTCTCACTGGCATCATCTTCTTCGATATCGATGTTATCGATATCGGCGTCAAACGCAATGACCTCTTCGTCAGAGCGTGATGAGCGTGAAACAAATCGGTTTTTGCTCCCTTTCCCCCTTAAACCAGAGTTATACTCTAGTAAGGTGGGTACACGCGGATGGCGCAAGCCATTCACGTAAAACGTTGTATGTGTCGTGGACACATGCACCGAGTTGTTAATGTCAAACTCTACCATTGGCAAAAACTCACTCCAACTCTTAAAGGAAGTGTACGCATCCTCGAAGTATCTCTTCTAGGACACGATTGGCTCGTTCCGTCTGACCATCTGACTCTGGATGATCAGATGTCGACATCTTCAAGCGCGTTCCGAGTGATTTGAACACGGAACGCCAGAAATCAGCAGTGAATCGTGGATCTCTGTCTGATACGAGTTCACGGGGCAACCCATGAAGTCAGAAAATGGTGTCAATAAAGACGCAAGCACAGCCACTAGCTGTGATTGACACGGGTACAGCCACAAGGTGTACCATTTTGCTGAATCTGTCAACAAATACGAGAATACCCGTATTCCCGCGTGCGTCTTTGGGTAACCCGAAGACGAAATCCATTGAGATGGATTCCCAGCACTCAGCCGGAACCGGTAGAGGCTGTAAAGGTGCACGCAGTGAAGGACTTGACTTCACTCGTTGGCAGACTTCGCATGCGCGAACATACTTTCGCACAAACTGATACCGGCGGGGCCAGTAAAAGTCTCGACTCACCGTGAGATGTGTTTTCTCCCGGCCACGATGTCCTCCTATAGGAGCATCGTGATACTCGAACATGATCCGCAAACGCAGATCAGTATCATCTGGAATGACAACACGTGGTGTGTCACCAGAAACGGCTGTATAATACAGTAAACCGTTGCGAGTAGCGATCTGATGCAGATCGATACGCAGGCGACAATCGTTTCAACAATTCTCGAGATGGTTGTGAGAGATGTGTCAACAACTTCACATCTCACCATCTTGGGCGTATGCCCGCCTCACATCATCATGCAACGTTTAAGATGGTACTGAGGACGTCATAACCGCAACAGTGGCTGTCCAACTGTTGGGTTTCACGGCTAATTTAAATTCGGGACGACGTGAGATTGCATCAGCAACGACATTAAGTCGTCCTGGTTTGTACTCTACCGTAAAGTTGTATTCTGCAAAGAATGACAACCACCGCGCCATTAGTTGTGAAAGGTGCGGGCTGTTTACTGCCGTGCGTAATGACGCGTGGTCAGTGTAAACAGTGAAGGGTCTATCTTCAAATAGGTAGACTCTGAACTTCGCGAGTGCATACTTCATGGCAAGGAGTTCCTTGTCATGCACTGGACAGTTCCGCTCAGCTGGTTGCAGCTGACGCGACTGATAGCAGACGACGCGTTCAACGCCTTCAAGATCGTACTGCATTAATGCACAGCCGATTGCGAAATCGCTGGCATCACAGACCACATGAAATTGCCTGTCCTGATCGGCTATTAATAGGACTGGGGATTGTATCAAGCTCTGCTTGATACCATCAAAGGAGCGCTGACATTCAGCGTTCCATAACCACCTCTCGTTCTTTTTCAACAAACGAGAGAGGTGTACAGTCATCTTGGCGTAATTGCGTGAATACTTATGCAAATACGCCGCTATACCAAGGAATTTTCAAAGACCTTTGACATCAACTGACACAAGCCGTCGGTGATCGCCTTGATCTTTTCGTGATCAGGACGTACACCGTTCTTACCAACGATGCACCCAAGAAGTGGTATCTCGCTTGCTGCAAATATACACTTCTTGAGGTTTGCATACAATTGATGCTTTCGCATGATTGTAAGAACCTGTCGGATGTGGTACCTGTGAACCTCAACGTCCGACTTTCCATCCATAGCCCGACTATGGATGAATACGTCATCGTAATAACTCGGTGCAAATTCTCGTACTGGTCTCAACAGATGTGTATCACATCTGTTGAACGTGGCTGGGGCATTACTAAGCCCTTGTGGCATTACTAGCCATTCCCAGAGCATGCCGCTGGGCGTGCTAACTGCGGTATAGGGTATATCCCGTTCTCGCATAAGGATTTGATAGAAGCCATCCATCAAATCCATGGACGAAAAGATGGTACTCTTTGACATACCATCAATGATTACGTCCTTCCTCGGTATCGGCGTCTGAGACGGTACCGTTGCAGCATTCAACTTGTTAAATGCACGCACTATCCGCCACCCTCCTGTTGCTTTTCGCACACAGAAGGTCGGAGAGCTATGTGGGGAAGTTGATTCCCTCACATGTCCCGCAGCTAAACGATCGGCAAAGAACTTGTCGATCGCAAGTACTTGTTGGCGAGGCAGTGGCCACTGCTTCATGACACAGTACTTCGAGCCTGATTCAAGCTCGACCTCGTGTCGAGTGCCTTTATCCTTCCGTAACTTGCACGGAACAGTTTCAGGGAATGCATTCTTGAATTCAACCAAATTCTCACAGAGAGGATTTGTCTTGAGCGATTCCCATGATTGGGAGTCATATCGCTCAACTCGTGTCTTTTCATCGAGGACGCTCTCGTCCATCGATGAACTACTGAGAACTCTCTCGTTCTCAGTAAACGCTGTTGCTGACCTTTTGTCGGCTACACACTCATCGTCAGCGACGAGTACGCAGATGTGCTTGACTTTGCCACTACGCAGATCACGCAAGAACCTTTTATGTTCGAGCGTTGGCAACTGAGTGATCTCCGAAGTCAACTTCGGAGGCGCAATCAGATCAAGTGTATAAGCGCCTACACTTGATCCGTTATTGACTAGGACATTCAATGTCTCTGTCATTTCCTGGGGACTTATTCCCTCAGGCTTCGAAGGACTTTTTCCTTCGGCTTTCCGGGGACTTATTCCCGCGGGTTTCGGGGAACTTATTTCCGCCGTATTTGTAATATCGGGACTTATTCCCTTAACTTCCTCTAGCTGGGGTTGCGCAACCACAGCGAGATCCTCTACGAAAGACTCTCCAGTCGACCTAGAATTATCGTTTCGCTTAACCTGAGCGATCGATTGTTTCTCTTCTAGATATTCCCCGCTAGGGATGCATCTTTGTCCCGGTCCACTCGACTTATTCGAGTGGTGGACCTTCGGCGCAGCCTGTGTTTCCTCACCGCCGCCGGAAGCTTGCTCCGAAGTGTAACTGTTTGTTACACTAAGGTTTCGTGCAGTCGTACTAACGACCCTACCACAAGTGAGGCCATCGCACTCACTCGTAGTACATCCACACGCTTGTGGATGCTCCAAAACGTTCATCAGATGGCCATCTGATGAACATGCGGCAGGCATCGTTACTGTTCGATGTTGCCAGTTTACTCGTGGTTCGTATCTTCTGATTCACGGTATTCCAAGGATGACATCGAATTTGTCATCCAAATCCAATACGATAAAGTCATCGTCATATTGGGTATCTTCTGGCATATAGTGAATTTTCACTATACGCTTCATGACGGTTACGGATGCCTGTCGCAAGACGCACCGTCATCCTCGTAGGAGGTGTGTCACATTCACTGAACTTAAAATGACCATCTTCTAACGATTGGCGTTGCATAAAATTGATGGACGCCCCACAATCGACTAGAGCTCGAAAGGACAAATTATTCGTCACTTCGAGTTTCAAGGTAATGAGTGAGTTCTTATTACCTAGAGCAACAACGCACATTGTTTGTGTGTTGGGAGCAACCTTCATCAAGAGGCCTGCAAATTCTCTTGACGTTGCTAGACCAGTAGGGTGCTCCGCACCTACTGATCCTGTCCGTTTTTTGACGGTCCATCCCGTTGTTGCGTCTTTGCACCAATAGCGGATCCGCGTCCCTGCACCTTTCTCATGGGTGGACGGTCACTACGCCCAGTGTTGCAAGACACTGGACGAGGAGCACTACACTCGTAAGCGTAGTGTCCTGTCTTCTGTTATCTGTTGCTTTTTTGCAACTTCTTGTAGTCTGTAGAGCGAGCCTTCTCGCTCTCTGCATAACAGATTTCCATCGGCTCTGGACCTCCGTTGTCATATCGTCTCGGTTGACGATATGATGTCGAGCTGGCGCGAGCCTGTCTCAGACTGAAGTCTTCCTGTTCCGCAATGGAAATGGCTTGTTCTAGTGAATCTAGTTCAAGTCGGAACAGGTGAGTCTTGACGGGACCATCCGCAAGACCCTGCATGAACACCGAAACCAACGTGTGTTCATCAACCGGATTGGAACTTATACAACTCGTGAGATATCGTATATGTTGTGCGTAAGCGTGCACATCACGCTTACCTTGTTTGAGCTTCAAAAGTTCGGTTCGAGCTCTGAACTCAGCTCTAGGCGGTTCAAACGTTTGTCTGAGCCGCGACTTGAAGACTTCCAACGACCCAAACGCATATGGGTCATGCAACTTGAGCCCCAGTGCCCAAGTCTTGGCACGTCCTGCCAGATTTGACTGGGCAAATGCAACTTGCATATCCCCGTCGTCGATGCGACGCGCCCTTATGGCGTCGTCCAATTCGACGGACCATCTCAAGAGGGAGTCCTCTTCGACTCCCCTAAACTTAGAGATGTCGATCTTCAAAGTCTCGGGTCGACGCGAGTGCATCGACCTACCAGCAGCAGCCTGCTGCTGTCTCAACAGCTCAAACTGTTGAGCACCCTGTTCTCTCAACAACTCTGCTTGTTGAGAACCTTGTTGCTGAAGCAAGGATACTTTCTCGCGTTCGGCGTCAAGTTCAATTTGAATGAACTTGGCGATAGTAGCATGTTTGGCATCTCTATTGAGAGCCTCTAGCATGACGCTAACAGCATGGATGCGTATGGTTGAACCCATCCGTTCAACCGCATCCCATTCGACATCGCTCAAATGGGAGTAGCCGTCAAGCGTGAAAGCTTAGGTCATCTTCATCATCCAACATATTCATGTTGGATGTGAACGTGGTCCTTGGACGGACTACGAAGTGCTACCAGGTGTAACGGGGCACCCTGAAGCTTGTACTGATGACTGTACAAGCTACTTATTCTGACGACAGAATAAGGCGGTGCCTCGGAACTTCACGTACACTCGTACGTGCAGAGGAAGACGGTACGAAGAAGCGATTACTTGGTTTAAGTAAAAAGTAGAACTGTATTTATCATATTCAATGTCTGTTAATAAATCACTATTCATCTAACTATGTCTGAATACAAATGTGCATATCAACTATCTGCTCACCA